AAGGCCGTCTACCCTACGCGTTCTGACAACCGACCCAAAACGGAAGCCAAGCCGAACCAAAATTCTGTTGACTACATAGGAAATTCTGAGGCCACCTATACCAGGACGCGCGATATAGAATGCTTCAAGTGTCGGGGCAAGGATCATTACGCCAACAAATGCCCAAATCAGCGAGCAATGCTTATGTTCGAGACTGGAGAGATAATGTCCGACCATGAGGAGGAGACCAAACCAGTTTATGACGAGGAGGTGACTGAAGAGCGAGCTGTGGACAGAGAGCTCTTGGTAGCACGCCGAGTGTTGATAGCTGGTAGCACGCGGAGTGTTGATAGCCCAGGAACGAGTCAAGGAAGAAGACCAGCGGGAAAATCTCTTTCTCACGCGATGTCTTGTCTAAGCAAAAATGTGCAGTCTGATAATCGACGGAGGAAGCTGCACTAATGTTGCCAGCACCAGCAAGGTCGACAAGCTTGGCCTAGAGACTCACAAGCACCAGCACCTTTACAATCTCCGGTGGCTCAGCAACCAACAACAGCTCAAGGTCACCAAGCAAATGATGGTGCCTCTGGTCATAGGACGGTACGAAGATGAGGTCATATGCAACCTTCTTCCCATGGAGGCCGGTCACATCCTCTTAGGAACCGTGGCAATACGATCGAAAGGCAACCCATGACGGCTTCTCTAACAAGCATATCTTTGAGCACCGAGGCTGCAAGATTATCCTAGCACCATTGTCACCCCAAGAGGTCTATCTTGATCAGGTCAAACTAGAACAAAGCTCCAAAGGTAAAACCATCATGAGTGAACTCCCAAACACTTTACACCCAAAAAGAGAGTTTGAGAAAAGCCTAGAAATGGTCTGTGAGAGTAAAAACACGTGAGTAAAGAATCTTTTCTTGTGAGACCTAGCGAGGTGAAACACGCCTTGATCACGAGACAACCATTTGTTCTGCTCATGTTCAAAAGCACTTTGGCTAGCATTACTAACCCTGAGCTGGTTTTACCGAGCAAAATTTATAATATTTTGCAGGAATTCGCCGATGTTTTCCCGGAAGAAGACCCACACTGTTTGCCATCCATCAGAGGGATCGAGCACGAGATCGACTTCGTGCCTGGTGCATCACTTCCCAACCGGCCCGCCTACCGTACTAATCCAGTCGAAACCAAGGAGCTACAAAGGCAAGTTGATGAGCTCTTGGCTAAGGGATACATCCGCGAGAGCATGAGCCCATGCGCCGTGCCCGTGTTGCTAGTACCCAAGAAAGACAGGACATGGAGGATGTGCGTCGACTGCAGAGCCATCAACAACATTACGGTTAAGTATTCCCATCCTATCCCTAGGCTAGATGACATGTTAGATGAGCTACATGGGTGCATGCATATTCTCTAAGGTAGATTTAAAAAGTGGATATCACCAAATCCGGATGAAGGAAGGTGATGAATGGAAAATGGCTTTTAAAACCAAACATGGACTTTATAAGTGGTTAGTTATGCCGTTTGGCCTTAGAAACGCACCCAGCACTTTCATGCGTCTTATGAATCATGTTCTTAGGTCTTTAGTAGGGGTCTTTGTCATAGTATACTTTGATGATATCTTGATCTATAGCAAAACTTTGGAAGAGCATGCATTGCATTTATGAACAGTGCTAGATGTGCTAAGGCAAGAGCGATTGTTCAGAAACTTCAAGAAATGTTCTTTTGTCGTAAGCTCGCAGGGAACAAAAGGTTTATGAAGAGAAAATCAAAGCTATTCTGGATTGGCCAAGCCCTAAAACCATAGGAGAAGTCCGGAGCTTTCACGACCTAGCAGGATTTTACCGACGTTTTGTTCGGGACTTTAGCACCATAGTCGCGCCTTTGACCGAAATCATCAAGAAGGAAGTGGGCTTAAAATGGGAGCAAGCACATGTGGAAGCTTTTCAACTCCTAAAACATAAACTCACTCACGCCCCTTTATGAGTCTTGCCTGATTTTCTTAAGACGTTTGAAATTGAGTGTGATGCTTCGGGTGTAGGTATAAGAGCCGTGCTATGCAGGAGAAGAAACCCGTGGCGTTCTTCAGTGAAAAGTTGGGAGGAGCTACGCTTAACTACCCTATGTATGACAAGGAGCTGTATGACTTGGTCCGCGCTTTACAAACCTGGCAGCACTACCTTTGGCCCAAAGAGTTCGTGATCCATCGTATTATCAGTCGCTCAAACACCTTAAGGGACAGCAAAAGCTCAACAAAAGGCACGCTCGGTGGATGAAACTCATAAAGACCTTTCTTTACGCCATTCAGTATAAGCAAGGAAAAGAGAACACTGTGGCTAACGCCTTGTCACGCCGATATGCCTTAATCTCTACTCTGGAAGCAAAAGTTGTTGGATTCGAGATGATCAAGGAAGCTTACCTAACCGATCCAGACTTTCAGGATGTCTACAGGGCCAGTTCGAAATTTGCCCATGGAAAATATTACAAGAGTGATGGCTTTCTGTTTTGTGAGAACCGTTTGTGTATACCTAACACCTCTCTGCATGATTTACTTGTTAGGGAAGCATACGGTGGTGGACTAATGGGACACTTTGGAGTGGCTAAGACTCTGAGTGTGGTGCTAGACCACTTCTTTTGGCCGCACTTGAGGCGCGGTGTGGAACGCATTTGTGGCCGATGTACAATCTGTAAGATGGCCAAAACCAAAAGCCAAAGCCCAGGTATGTATACTCCGCTACCCATACCCAGTGAACCATGGACTGATATCTCATTGGACTTTGTCTTAGGTTTGCCTCGGACTAGGAGAGGTAGAGATTTGGTATTTGTGGTCGTAGATAGGTTTTCTAAGATGGCTCACTTTATTTCTTGCCATAAGACCGATGATGCTTCTAATGTGGCCGACCTGTTCTTTAGGGAGATTGTCCGTTTACATAGGGTTCCTAGAACCATTGTATCAGATCGGGACACTAAGTTTCTTAGCTACTTTTGGAAAACCCTCTAGTCGAAATTAGGTACCAAACTATGCTTTTCGACAACATGTCACCCACAAACCGATGGCCAGACCGAAATAGTTAATAGGACTTTGTCAGCTCTCTTAAGATCAGTGATTAAGGAAAACCTTAGAACTTGGGAAGATTGCTTACATCACGTTGAATTTGCTTATAATCACTCGGTTCATTGAATTACTATGTTTTCTCCTTTTCAAGTTGTGTATGGTTTTAATCCACTTACGCCACTTGATCTAACCCCTTTGCCTATGACTGAAAGACTTAACATATATGGCAAGAAAAAGGCTGAATTGGTCAAACAGTTGCACGAGAAGGCTAAGGAGAACATCAAGAGAAAAACCGAGCAGTTTCAAAGGAAGGCAAACAAAGGTCGGAGCAAACGCGTGTTTGAACCAGGCGACCAAATATGGATTTACTTAAGAAAGGAACGATTCCCTGAGGAACGGAAGTCAAAGCTATTGCCAAGGGTCGATGGACTGTTCATTGTGCTTAGCCGGATCAATGACAATGCCTACCAAATCAATCTCCGAGGTAAGTATACGGTTAGTTCCAGTTTTAATGTTGCTGACTTGGTTTCTTTTCTCCTAGATGGACCAGACTTGAGTTCAAGTCCTTTTCAAGAAGGGGGAGAATGATATGAGCATGGAACCAGCGAACGACCCATGGGTCGAGCAGCCGGGCGAGACGCAGGACGAGGAGCAAAACCTGACAGAGAATCTGACCGTGCCAAACGGGCCAATGACACGATCCCTTGCCAAGAAGCTATCGATGGCCGTTTGGAGGTTATGTACCGAAATGATGGCCCAGACTAAGAACGCTACACCAAGCACTCAGGTCATAACGCTGCTAAGTTACTCGATCGGTGTAGCTTTTTAATACTCTTTTTCTTTTCACCTGGGTTTGTCCCAATGGGTTTACTGGGTGGGGTTTTAATGAGGTTAAGGACTGCACCCAACTCATTGACCGTGGTTCGTTAGTGGGTCGTGTTATGGTTTGAAAGGCAAAGGATCACTCAAGGCAAAAGCCAAAAAGTCAGTCAAGGGAGCCGAGTGGTCATTGGTGGGCTTGCGGGCCTATGGTTGTTTTTTAACAAGCCCGTTGGTCCTCCAAAAGTTTTAATTTATAAAACCCTAGTGTCTGCATTTTATTTACTTCAGTTCGATATTCTGCTTGCTTCATTTGCTTTTCATTCGATTTTTCTACTTGCTTTCTAAGATGGATTTATTTGCTTTCTTTTGTTTTAGTTTAATCCGTGACAAACAAACAACCTCTTAAAAACCAATCTAGTCTTGACATAAAGTTAGAAATCATAGAAGAATACCAGGCACACAAATCTCTGTGGATTCGATCCCTAAATACTACAACTCATTAGCTGTGCACTTGCGGCTTTCATTTGTTTTTATTAAGGATAAAACTTGTTCTCTCACGCAGTTGACACGCATCACTATCTCGGTGTAAAATGTGAGCATATGTGAGACATAGCCCTTGTCCTTATCTGTCTTGCACGCCCAAGTCGCACACACCACACTTAGACTTTTTTGTTCCCAAGTCTCTTTGCTGCTAGATGACAACTTGCACAGCCATCTAGGTGTCTTTTGAGAGTTCATGTGCGACATGGAACTTGGCTTGTCCATCCCGCACACCCAAGTTGCACACCAGGCGGCTCACAAGTTTCTCATGCCTTAGCCCTTTCTCAGCATATTCTCAAACTCTTTTCACTTTGTTCCTTGGACCATAACTTTCCTAAGTCACCTGAGACCTGAAAACACTTTACAAAACCCATCAAAACATCCTAAAACATGAAAAAGGAGAGAAAAGATTAAAAGAGTTATATACAAGGATAACCTTGCGGTGTCTCCCAAGAGCACTTTGTTTTAAGTCACTAAGTTTGACTTTTCATACCTATTAATGGGTTAGAGGATTATCAAAAGAGACTGTGGTAACTCCCTCTTTGATTGCATTCACCAAGTATGGCTTAAGCCTTTGCCCATTTGCCATAAAGCTGTTGCCATTCTTTCCCTAAAGTACCACAGCTCCATAGCTCCTTACTTCAAGAATCTTGAATGGGTCTGACCATCTAGACTTTATCTTCCCTGGATATAGCTTGAGTCTAGAGTTGAATAAGAGAACAAGATCTCCTTCCTTGAACTCCTTTTTAAGAATCTTCTGATCATGGAGAGTCTTTTTTCTTTCCTTGTAAATCTTACAACTCTCATAGGCATTGAGCCTTATCTCTTCCAACTCATGAAGCTGTAGAAGTCTATTTTCTTGAGCAGCTTTAATGTCAAAGTTAAGCAACTTGACAGCCCACAAAGCTTTGTACTATAGCTCAACTGGTAGATGGCAAATTTTCCCATATAGAAGGTTGAATGGTGAAGTTCCAATGAGGGTTTTAAAGGCAGTTATATAAGCCCACAAAGCATCATCCAATTTCTTGGACCAATCTTCCTAGATGAGCTTACTGTCCTCTTAAGAATTTCCTTAATCTGCTTGTTTAAGATCTCTACCTTCCCACTTGTTTGGGGATTTTAAGGACTAGCAACCTTGTGTCTAACTCCATGCTTCTTAAGGAGTCCTTCCAAGGTCTTGTTCACAAAGTGACTTCCACCATCACTTATCACCACTCTTGGGACTCCAAATCTTGGGAAGATGATGGTTTTAAACAGCTTAACAACCACCTTGGAATCATTAGTGGGACTTGCTACAGCTTCTACCCACTTAGACACATAGTCTACAGCCACAAGAATTTATTGATTTCCATGAGATGAGACAAAGGGTCCCATGAAATTAATTACCCAACAATCAAACACCTCTACTTCAAGAATAGGATTCTGTGGCATTTCATTTCTCCTGGAGATGTTTCCTTGTCTTTTACAAGCATACATCTAGACACCACACCTTGAGCATCTTTGAACATTGTAGGCCACCAAAAACCTGACTGGAGAGCTTTAGCAACTTTCTTGAATGCACCAAGTTGTCCTCCATAAGCTGACCCATGGAACTCTTGTAGAACCCCTTGAACCTCTTCTTCAGCTAAACACCTGCTGCACAAATGATCCTTGTTGAGGACATAGAGGTAGGGTTCATGATGTGATCCTTCCCAAAGATCGGCACTCAGAAGTTGGTAAAGGGGATAAGCTTGTCTCAAAGAAACCATGAAGTCTCAATGAACAAGGATGTGGAGCGAATGGTCACACAGAAGCTGCGGAAGACTCCTGATTTACCGGGTGATCCCTTGGATATGACACACCAAGACAGATCGGTTGTGACCATGGATATTACACACCATGATCTGATAAATGGATATTATACACCATGATCAAAAGAAGAGAATAAATCTCAAAGGTTTCCAAAAATAATGATTAAAGCTTATTTTCTCAAATGAGATTACATGAGTTTAAATAGAAAAGAGAAACTTGAAAAGAAAGCTAAACAATAAAAGCTACTCTACATGCACTCAACCTAGGGAAATGAGAATTAAACACAACCAATGCATGTAGAGAAAGATAAATGCTTCTTGGACTTCAATTTTCGTCACTTCTCTTGTGCCATAAAATTAGATCATTTGTTTTGGGCCTGAAACTCTTCATGTCGACCCGTTTTGGCAAATCGAGTGTATCTTCGTGATCCGATGTCCATTTATCTTGTTCTTGGGCTTGTTAGAACCACAAGAGATCCATTAAGCTTCTCCAAGTGGTTTCATGTCGAGATCCTTTCTGAGTTTGGCTGTGTGACTTGATCTTTGGCCTGGATGCATTATCGGGCCTGAAGCAGATCCACTGGTTTGTAAAATCCATATCTCCCAATTCTGAACCGGTATTGATGTGAATCCAATTCGACGTAATTCTGGGATGGATCAAGAATCCATAACATGTTGATTCATTGATTGATTCCTTCTGGCTTGGTTTGAATCCTCCTTTAATTGCGCGCAGGTCCAAATCGACTAAGCTAGAGTTCGTCTGACTTGTAAAATTAATAACTCTTTCATCTGAACTCCAATTGAACCGATTCCACTTCGAGGTGCTCTCTGGATGAGCTGAGAATGTTTTCCAAGTGGTTGTTGGTCTGTAATAATTGATCTTGGCCTTCGTTTGTGCTGAACAAGTCATAAGGGTCTTCTTCTTTTCCAAAACTCTTGTTGACTTTTCTTGCTGCTCTTTAGGATCATATCATCCTATCCCTCTTCAAAAGGATTTGTCCTCAAATCCCGATCTCACAATGAAACACTTTTTTTTTTTATTCCTCTCTTTCTTTTTTTTTCCTTTTTTTCTCTCTTTTTTTTTGACTCTTTATTTTTCTTTTTTTTTATGACGTAAATCAATAAATAAAAGACAAATAAAATAAAATAGAGGAAAAGAAGATGAAAAGATAGAAGATGAAAGAAAGAAGATGAAAAGATGAGAAAATGAAAAGAAGAAAATGAAGAGATCAGAAGATGGAATAGAAATAGATACCAAACTTCAGAGTGTGCTCTGATACCAAATGATGTGATCCTTCCCAAAGATCGGCACTCAGAAGTTGGTAAAGGGGATAAGCTTGTCTCAAAGAAACCATGAAGTCTCAATGAACAAGGATGTGGAGCGAATGGTCACACAGAAGCTGCGGAAGACTCCTGATTTACCGGGGGATCCCTTGGATATGACACACCAAGACAGATCGGTTGTGACCATGGATATTACACACCATGATCTGATAAATGGATATTATACACCATGATCAAAAGAAGAGAATAAATCTCAAAGGTTTCCAAAAATAATGATTAAAGCTTATTTTCTCAAATAAGATTACATGAGTTTAAATAGAAAAGAGAAACTTGAAAAGAAAGCTAAACAATAAAAGCTACTCTACATGCACTCAACCTAGGGAAATGAGAATTAAACACAACGAATGCATGTAGAGAAAGATAAATGCTTCTTGGACTTCAATTTTCGTCACTTCTCTTGGGCCATAAAATTAGATCATTTGTTTTGGGCCTGAAACTCTTCATGTCGACCCGTTTTGGCAAATCGAGTGTATCTTCGTGATCCAATGTCCATTTATCTTGTTCTTGGGCTTGTTAGAACCACAAGAGATCCATTAAGCTTCTCCAAGTGGTTTCATGTCGAGATCCTTTCTGAGTTGGGCTGTGTGACTTGATCTTTGGCATGGATGCATTATCGGGCCTGAAGCAGATCCACTGGTTTGTAAAATCCATATTTCCCAATTCTGAACCGGTATTGATGAGAATCCAATTCGATGAAATTCTGGGATGGATCAAGAATCCATAACATGCTGATTCATTGATTGAGTCCTTCTGGCTTGGTTTGAATCCTCCTTTAATTGCGCGCAGGTCCAAATCGACTAAGCTCGAGTTCGTCTGACTTGTAAAATTAATAACTCTTTCATCTGAACTCCAATTGAACCGATTCCACTTCGAGGTGCTCTCTGGATGAGCTGAGAATGTTTTCCAAGTGGTTTTTGGTCTGGAATAATTGATCTTAGCCTTCGTTTGTGCTGAACAAGTCACAAGGGTCTTCTTCTTTTCCAAATTTCTTGTTGACTTTTCTTGCTGCTCTTTAGGATCATATCAGTTCATCCCAAAAGTACTTCTTCACATCCTTGAAGAACTTCTTTCTTTGAAACCCATACTGCTCAGGTGGCTCCACACCAAAAGAAAAGTAGTTCAATATATCAGCAAACCAAGGCAAGCTTCTCTTCCTGATGGATTTAGCCTCCTCAAGCTCCGTGTAAAGCACTTATTGCCATGATCTTTTCTTCTGGCAATGAATCATCTAAAGAGATCTCAGAATCCACTCTCATCATTGACAAGTGATCAGCCACTCCATTCTCTATGCCCTTCTTGTCTTTGACCTCCATGCCAAATTCTTGTAGCAAGAAAACCCACCTTAGAAGCTTTGGTTTAGCATCCTTATTGGTCATCAAATATCTTAGAGCAGCATGGTCAGTGTAGACCACCACCTTAGAACCAACCAAATAGCTTCTAAATTTGTCAAAGGCAAATGCAATGGCAAGCATTTCCTTCTCTGTAGTGGCGTATTTCTCTTGAGCTTAATCCAAAGTTCTACTAGCATAGTAGATAACCTGGAGATTTTTGTCCTTCTTCTGCCCTAACACAGCACCAACAGCATAATCAGAGGCATCAATCATCACCTGAAAAGGAAAACTCCAATCAGGTGCTTGTACAATGGGAGCACTGATGAGAGCTTTCTTGATCCTTTGAAAAGCCTCCTCACACTCAGCATCAAATTGAAACTCAACATCCTTACACAGCAATCTTGTTAATGGCCTTGCAATCTTGGAGAAATCATTGATGAATCTCCTATAGAACCCTGCATGACCCAAGAAGCTTCTGATCCCTTTAATTGAGTTTGGAGCTTCTAGATTCACCATCACCTCCACCTCTGCCTTATCCACCTCAATGCCAGCCTCTGATATCTTGTGTCCAAACACTATCCCTTCTTGTACCACGAAGTGACACTTCTCCGAATTCAGCACCAATCTTGTCTCCTCTCATCTCCTTAGCACCTGAGACAGATTAGACAAACAAGCAGAGAAGGAGGATCCATAAACTGAAAAATCATCCATGAATACCTCAACTTTCTCTTCTATTATATCAGAGAAGATATATATCATACACCTTTGAAAGGAGGTAGGAGCATTGCACAGACCAAAAGTTTTCTTCTGGAAGCATAAGTACCATAAGGGCAGGTGAATGTTGTTTTCTCTTGGTCTCTAGGGTCCATGGGAATCTGGAAGAACCCTGAGTAACCGTCTAGAAAACAATAATAAGTATGATTGGCCAACCTCTCTAGCATTTGATCAATGAAAGGAAGAGAAAAATGATCTTTCCTAGATGCTGAATTCAACTTTCTATAATCAATGCACATGCAGTGGCCTGTCACTGTTTTGGTGGGTATGAGTTCATCTTTCTCATTCCTGACCACTGTTATGCCACTCGTTTTAGGTAATTGTGTACTGGAGAAACCCATCTTGAGTCAGAAATTGGATAGATAATTCCTGCCTCAAGGAGTTTGAGGATCTCTCTCTTAACAACATCTTTGAGATTGGGGTTTAATCTCCTTTGATGTTCTATAGAGGTCATTGATTCCTTTCCAGATGTATCCTATGGGTGCATAAGTCAGGTGAGATACCCCTAATATCATCTAAAGAATAGCCTATAGTTCTCCTAAACTTCCTTAGTTCATTCAACAAGGCATTCTCTTCATGAGCTATCAAGCTATCATTTATGATCACAAGATAAGATTAATTAGGTCCAAGAGATACATACCTGAGCCCTGTTGGTAGTGGCTTGAGCTAAACAGGGGGCGCTTTGGTCTCATCCCAATCGGCCATGAAGCTGTCTTGCTCAGTCAGAGCTTCTTTGTTGCTCATCTCATCACCCCGCTTGCTCTCCTGCTCAGCCTCTACACCCACGGCCATACACTCTTGACGGCTTGCTTCTAGCTCCAAAAGATGAGATTCGTATCCAACTGGTTTGTGAGAATCAAGAAGCTTCATGAACCCAAGGGTCTCATCCTCCAAATATCCATACTCACCATGCTCTTTAGTCAAGCCAACTTGAAGAGGATCTTTAATGTTCTACTCTTCAAGAAGCTTATCAGCAAGCTCCTCCATGGCTTCTATATAGAATACTTGGCCCTCAATGGTAGGTTTCTTCATCATTCCATTCATGTCAAATGTAAGAGCTTCTGATCCAAGGTGCAGCTCAATCTTGCCTCCTCTTACATCAATTATAGCACCAGCAGTATCAAGGAATGGCCTTCCCAAAATGAGAGGATCAACAGGTTCTTCTTCCATCTACAAGACAACAAAGTCTGTTGGGATTTCAAGTTCACCTACTTTAACTGGTAGATCTTCTAATATTCCAATGGGGAGCCTGACTGATCTATAAGCAAGCACTAAAGAAAACCTTGCTGGCTTGTAGGTTGTGAATCCCAGCTTCTTTGCAATAGAGAAAGGCATTAAACTCACTGAAGCTCCTAAGTCACATAAGCAGCTTGCAAACTTCAAAGGACCAATGGTACATGGCAATGTAAAAGTCCTTGGATCAGATAGCTTCCTAGGGATTGTCCTCCTCTGAATTATTGCACTACACTCATGACTTAGAATCACCATTCCTTGTAGTTCCTTTGTCTT